AAGCGTCATATGGTGGTGCGAGACATCCCGTCTGACTTCTACCACAGTGCTGCTGAGCAGCAACCTGTGTTGCATCTGGCTCAGCAACCTTCAGCTCCAGCTGCAGCTGAGCAGAGTGACGGGTCAGAAGGACGTGAAAGCAGCAGCAGTGGAGAGACTTATCAGGAGTAAGGATATAACATTTTGCAAGATTTTTTTAGCACAGCAACAAAATTCAAAGCAAAAGAAGCATTCCTCTAATATCTTTTTTCTGCATTGCAGTGAGCCAAATGTTGCTTGGAAAGGCAACAAAAGACGAGAGATGCAGGATAGGGGTCTTTACAACAAGCATTCCAGGGATCACAAATTAATCAGAGACTATGCTCGATATCTCCACATAGACCGGCAGGTTGAGAATTACACCCAAGATGTAAGGGCTTCTTTTAATACTCTTATTGTGAAATTTTGTGGGCTGCCATTCGGCACATCTAAACAGTTCTCTGTTGAACCAATTCAAGATTAAATGTGTAATTTCTTTTCAGGTGGACAATGTAGCAAGGTATCTCTACTACATGGACCCCAATGAACCTTCTCTTCACTTTGTCCTGAACAAAGAGAAGACGCAGCAGTACCTCAGGGACCTGACAGAAGCCGGCCTGATGAAGCAGACGCAGATCAACTATCTGAAAAATCTCAAATGGTTAGTTTGTATTTATATTTATGCTGGTGTATTTTTGAACCTCTGACAATGCCATTGTTTTTTATGGATTATTCAAAAGCATGTTGTAATATAAATCAATTTGTTTTCCTTAGATAGAAAACTTTGAATCAATCTGACTGAATGATCTGGTTGAACTGTAAAGTGCCTTGAGATGACATGTGTTTTGAATTGGTGCTATAGAAATAAACTGAATTGAGTTGAATTAAAATTGAATTTTTTTTCCCCTGTTCAGTTTCCTGAAATTCCACACATATCACACTGACCTGAAGAAGAAAGACCCCGACCTTCATGGCCACTGTGTGGATTTCATTGAGTTCTTGGGTTTGCAACAGGGGACTTGCGCCAAACAAGTGAGCAAGGAGGTCGTAAGGAAGAGGTAGGTTTAACACATACAAGGACGTATAATGAAAAGAAATATAAATTCAAAAACCTTTAGTGTCATGTACTCAGCATCGATTGGGAATCAGTGAAATTTCTTTGCTACATTCTCCCTTCAACAGCTTAAAGATTTCTAAAGGAATCATAGCATTTAAAACAACAAAAAGCTTAAATCCCACTGAGTTTAAAGGCCTGGCAGCAGGGGTTAAAAACTGTTTCACAACCTTCTTTGCTTTCACCTTCCTGAATGAACGCAGTGAGTCATTTTCCTTTCTGGTTTTTAACAGGCATGGAGCTTTATCTACAGACTCTCAACGTGCTCCAAAAGAGTGTCATGGTGTGCTGGAGACTGCAAAGAAGGACTTTTTGGCTGTCATTTCCAAGGTCTTTCCAGATGAAACCCAACTCAGCCCCCAAGAAATCACATTTGTGGTCTACTACCTTGAGGCCCTGATCACATTGAAACACCTGCAGAGGGTTGGTGTGGTCAAGCACATGACGGTGATTAACAATCATTCATTAAACCTGTGAATTTGTACATTTTTTTCTAGTTATTTGATTAAAGGCCTAACGATCCCCCATCCTAACAGGTTGAGGAGTGGATCAAAAGAAGAAAGACAGATGACGGACATACCGTGGTTGGAGTGATGGAGCACAAGACAGCTGCTCAGCAAGTGGCCATGTTTGCTTTGGATCAGGAGGAGGAAATGGTAAATAGCAAAAAGATACAGTTGACTGGATTTCACATTGTGCTAGGAGATAAAACTAATGGATCTCTTTTTTCCACCAAAAGTGGTGTGATACCTACTACACCCGCATCCGACCACAGATTTTTAGGTCCAAGAGGTGTGTGGCGGACCAGGATCGTGGCAGGTTTTTCCTCTCTTTGAAAGGGACCCCAATCTACAACCCGTCAAATGATATCCGGAGACTCCATGAAAAGTAAGATGAGAGGATGATATGAAAATCTGTTGGACATTTCATTTCCCTTAGAAACCATGTCAAACTAGCAAACTTACCATTACTTTCTATTTCAGATACGAACTAGAACCTGTCACCAACCAAGAGGCCCGTAGGGTCTACGAGACTGCGATGAAGACAAAGACCGACTCTGAAAGGAACTTGGTTGCAGACTACCTCACGCACTCAAACATCACAGCTGAGAGGCACTACCGGATGAAGCTCCCTGAAAACATTGTGCGTGGCCGGCACCTTATTGATTTTGCTGCAGGTGATTCCAGGTAAGAACATTGCATACTTCCCATGTTTGAAACTATAATG